AAACAAAGTAATCTTGGCAACCACCACAAACGACATTCAACTGTTTTAAGATTGTGCAAAAGAAGAGTTATCACAGTATTCACGAACCCACGCACAACATGCCTCTACGACTCACCAATCACAGTCACTCATGCATGAAGATCACATCATAGGAACGAATGATCGAGCATCCTAGGTCCTCACCGGGGTATATGAAATGAACAAAACATGATGAATGAATCACTCACTCTCGACCAGTGGGGTCAGGACCATTTGATGCAGAAGATGTGCATATTCACGCTCAATCATAACGTCCCTTTATCATGACAGTAACCTCTACATGTTAGAGTTCACAAGATGGGTGTCGTTGCTAGCTTGCCCGGAGGTCATAGACACAGGTTCAAATGACTGGCTAGGGTCTAGGACATGGGTAAAAGGATTTTTGGTGGTGGCAAACAAAACAAGAGGTTCCACATTTTCAACCTAAGGAACAAGGTTCTATGGTTTCGACTAGAACCTTCCCTACAAACAACGGCCACTAGCATTGGCCAAAAACCGCACTTCCCACTATTCCAAGCCACAACCAATCACCAAACCATATCAGCATACTTTCTTTGCTGCATTTGCTATTCAATTTTAAGCACAAGAGTGTAGAGGTCAACGACATGTAAGTGTTCCTATAGCTTGTATGTTAAGCAACACTTCTAAGAGCATGTTCAACATTTATATTTTTGGTGGCCACTCTCTTCTCTTTTTTGCCCTATTATTGATCTCTTTTTTTTCCTTTTCTTTTCTCTTTTCTTCGGACTTTCCTTTGGTTTTTGCGCTTTTTGACCTCCAATTATCTCAAAATTCGACGTCGGCCCTTCCACACGTGCTAGGACATGAAACGTATCAAAACAACCACAACCTAGCATGAAATATATTGAGGAACGATGAAATACAAAGCTAAACGAATAAGAAATGAGGAGTAAAATGTGTACATTTGGGCCTGAATCAGGTCTCTTAAGGTAAGGGGGCTTCTCTCTAATCTAGGTTATAATAGCACAATAGATTTCCAAGCACACACAATGCACAATCACCATAAAAAATACCTCAATTCTTAAATTAACACCACCATCACACAATTATTCAATCCACACAGTTAATTACATGATATTAATTTGGGTTCTACAACACCCAAGTGAAAGGGGAAACTACTCCATGCTAGAAAAAGGAAGAACACAAAAGAGGAAGAAAGAAACCATCATTGTGATGCCTCCAGCTCTCCTTGTGCTTGTAGAGATCCTCCAAAGAAGAGGAACTTCCAAAATCTTCACTTAGAGCAAACCCTAGACTCTTCTCCCTCTTGGTTCGTAACTTTCTCTCTCTAGGGTTTCAAGAAGAATAAGGTTTCTCTCACTATGGCTGAAGGGCTCGGTCCAGCCAACGATGGAGCACCTCTCCACATCCACACCAAAGTACGAGGCTAGTCTCATAATGATGCCCCCATGTGCATGGTGTCCACCCTGTTTCTCCCCAGACACCGGGCGAAAGTGGTGGCAATCAACGTTCCTAGATGGAGTGACTCTGCGGGATACCTCATAGAATGGAGGGCAAGTAGCCCTCTGTTAGTGTGCATGATCCGCCACGGGGTCTGCAACTTCACTACATTGGTGCGGCCAGCCTTGAACTCATCATGGTCGTGCTCGTGGCAGCAGAGGGCATGGAGTGCGTCCTGATAGTGAAAATCGATGGTGTATTACCGCTCTGTCATCGTCATGTAGGCGGTGTCCAACCTCGTGGCCTGGGCGAAGGCATCGTAAGTCAGCACTCGCGGCTAACCTCCAAGCATGAACTCTACATGGGGCCGACCCGCGACGTGGGAGAAGGTGGAGTAGCACTACACGCAGAGGTCATGGTAGATGATCTCATCCGCTAACAGCAGCTGGCGCCACTGTGTTGTGGGTGACAGGCAACCTATGACATCGCGGCTCAGCACCTGAACATGTTAAACATGTACAAGTCTAGCCTCCAATGAGTTCTAATCAAACTGTCCCTCTGATAAGCAAACTTGGCCCCGAACCATGCATGGTTCACCAAGTTGCTGATGTACTCATGCTCCAAATTCAGCATCCTGCAAAATCGACAAACATGCACCATACGTGAAAATAATTGTCAATCTCAACTCATTGGGAGGAAAAAGGATTTCCCCCACACTTATATTTCCACTACAGGCCCATGCTATTTTCATATGATCCCAATTGGATCAATCAACAACTCACAATTACTTGCCAAAGAAGTCATCTCAACTAACTTGAAGAATTCTGATTTTTGGCTAAGCGTTGAAACAATTTCAGGTAGCCTACTTTGGAATCTTGTATCTGACATATGACTCAATGAAAATGGGAGATCAAGAGCTTGTTTTGAAGATAAAGTTTTTATCTTTACATTGGTATATTTTGGAGCTCAAGGGAATGTCTTGAAGGTTAGTTTCAAAGCTCATCAAAAGGCTACCTCAAAACAGGAAAACTGCCTAAATTTGGCTAAGGCAGAAAACTGTTTTGAGATACCAACTTTGAAGGCCTTTATCTAGATTTTGGAGCATGATCTCAGGCTGATTCAAGTTGGAGGTGAAAGAGGAAGTTTTCTTATACAAAGGCAAAGAATTGGTTGAGTTGGAATCAACCTAGAAGACCATTTTCGAGGGGCTCAAAGAGGCTATGAAGCTTGTTTTCCTAGTCAGACTTGCTTGTGTTTTAAGCCAGTTTCTTGGCCAGCAAGTTACCTTGTTTTACACGAATTCTTTAGCCTTTTCCTGTTCTAATTAGTTTCCTTGTTCAGGTAGGGATGCATTGGGATTATTTGGCTATAAGAAGCCTTTCTTTTCAATGTAAAATAGATAGACTTTGATTAATCGAAAAACAAACCCTTTGGTTTTGTGCAAGTTGAGACTTGTTGAGTTTGGTGGATTCAAAGCTTGTGAGATTTGTAACAATTGAATATTCTCTTCAATTGTGGTCGAGCATCTATCCTTTTATACTATACGAGCTTTCCCCGGGTGTGGACTTGTCCGTTGGTTCCGTTTTATCCAAATTTCGTATTAAGAACGCATTGTTCTTGATTCGAGTTCAATCAATCTTCGGATTGATTGGTTGCTGCGTTACTTTGATAAAACTACACCCCCAGGGTCGTATTATATTCAAAACAATTAAGCTCAAGCACACCGAGGCATGGTCCTAGGTGTTTCACGGATTATCCACACAATAATTAAACTTGAACCATCCCATGGTGGCTACCATCCACCACTCAAGCATAAAAATTGCACATTCATTCACAAATTAGTACTTTGTGGGCAAATTCCACAAATTAAAGAAATTCGAATTAAATCATGCCCACCAAGGCTCAAATAAGATCATGCAAACATCATTCAATCATTCATTCATCAGAATCCACCTAATCCTTCTCCCTATTGCTAAGTTCAACATTCAATTTTCTAGGTTTTCCTCACTTCACTAATTAATTCGATTCTCCTAAATTAACTAAGGCAGAGTTGAAAACAAACCTGGAGACTCAAGTAGGATGGTAGAGGAAGTGAGGAGGAGACCAGGGAGGCGAAAAACTGGCCGAAAAATAGGTCTGACGAGGGTCGCCGGAATCTCGTCAGATGCTCGCCGGCGGCGATTTCACCATAAAAAATCGACTCCAAATATCCCCAAAATTTCGGCGAAGGCTGCCCTTGACGAGGGGGGAATGGGTTTGCGATTAAATTTTGATTTGGATCGCTGGAAGAGGGTGAAAAGGGCAAAATTTGTCGGAAAACAATGGTTTTCCGGTGAATTTGAAAGAATTCCGGCGAGTTTTGGGTCGTGAAGTGAAGAAAAAGCGTCCACGGCCCTTTTATAGGCAAACCTTGAAGTTCACAAACGCGTTTGCCAGTTAACGATCGTTAAGACGGTGAACATCGCAATCCGTTCTTGAACTGGGCCAAATGGGTGGGTTTAACACACGTGGAAACACCCTTGTTCATGGACGCGTTTGACAGTTCACGGTAAATTAAGACCGTGAACATTGCAATCCATCCGTGAACTGCAGTGAAAACAAGGCATTTACGAAAAAAATATAACTCGACCTACTCCACCGTGCCTACTATCATTCACGACCCAACTCAAAGCACACAATCACAAAAACCACACACAGGGATACCACTCGACCTTTTGTACTCTTCACTCGACAAAAAAATAAAAATAAGGAAAAGAAAACAAACCTACGTTGGTTTATCTCCCAACAAGCGCTAAGTTAGCGTCACTAGCTTGACATTGCGGATCTATCACACCTTTAAACATGATGCCACCAAGAGTGATTCATGCTTTCCCTCCAAGATCTTTTCCTTCCATCTTTGGGCGAGATGCCCTCTTCGCTTTCCTGCTTCACGTCATCACAAGGAACAACTGTAATCGTGGGTTTACTTTATTATTTCTAGTAGGATAATTATTATTATGGTTAGTAGAGATTTAGTCCAATTAGGTAATTCGTTAGGGTTTTGGTATTTTCCTATAAATATGTAAGTTGGCTTTCATTATCAACGAAGGAAGGAAAATATTAAGAAAAGTATATCCCCCAAACCTCTCCCAAAACCCTCTCAATCTCGTCCCTCTTCTTTACTAAAGGTCATCGGCCATTCTCTCCCAAACTTCTCCAATTCTATTCTTCAATCCATAATCCCCAATCCTTATCTCAAAATCCCTAATTTCTATTCCCAAACAGCTAAATCCCTATCTTTACGCATAATCGCGGGTGCCGAAGATCAGTCCCTAGAATCCCTAAGAAGTGGGTTTCTTATAGTGGTATCAGAGCCTGGTTGCAGGCATCCATACTAAAGCTATGGCAATCTCCGAGCTCTCACTTAGAGAAGTCACAAGGATCTTAAAGTCGAAGTTGGACGAGATGAGGAGGAACGAAGTTACCTCGTCCTCGCTGCTGTCCGGAAAGTCATACAGGTTGCTCCACCCAAAGCCGCAGCCACCGCGTCGATGGAGCCAATGTTGGCAGCTGAGAAAGCAGTGGCAACAACAACTGTCTTCTCCGCAGCGACACCATCTGCGGGAGTCGTTCCTCCACCAGTCGAGGAGTCATTAGACGCGGAAGAAGTTTTGGCACCACCACCTGCTGCCGCGACTCCATCACCACCGACGTGTGCTACCGTGGAAGTCGCCACTAGCTCACTCAAGAAGAAGGAGACGAATGACGTTGTTGCATCCTTCCCTGTCCTCGAAGTGGCAGCAGCGGCCGCCTCTAAAGAAGACTCCCGAGGAGAAGATGTGGATCAAAGGTTAACGCTAGAGCAATGGAACCTCCCAATTCAAGGGTGGAAATTCAAGAAGAAGAATCCAAGTTTTGATGACGGGTTTGATTTCTAGAAATCAAGAGATCGGGACGAAGTGGAGCTCTGTCAATCGGACTCGATTATCGATGAACAAGGAGCCAAGAGCGGAGCTCCACCTACTCCCTCGACGACTATGATCCTGGCATGGAGTAGTCCAGCATTCTGCTCGGTGGCAGCGAAGCTCCACGCCGACGTAGAAGGACTAGTCAAACCGGAGGCGCCGTCAAGTTTAAGTGTTTTTAGTCACTAGCGCCAGTTCGTTGCCATTTGAGATTTTCAGATAGAGCAGCAATTATGCTCTTGAGATCTTTGAGACAGAGCAGCAGTTATGCTCTTGAGACTTTTAAGATGAGCATCAGTTATGCTCTTGAGAATCGTGGTGAAGAGCCACCACGATAAGCTTAAGATGTTAGGGGGATGAATCGTTACGACTTCCCTAACTAAGTTTAAGTTTAAGGAAATCCTGAATGGCTTCTCATACGTATGAGTTGGCAACCGGACTAGTTAGTGAGGGATCCCAGTGTCAGTCAAGTATTTAAGTCGAGATTTGAGCTTTAAGAATGGAGAGTGACAGTAACTCCCATATAGTTTTAAGAATTAGGAGTTTTAAGAGTGGAGGTACAAACAACTTCCACCGGTTTAAGTTAAGTATCTAAAGTAAAATACTCAAGTACTAGATTTTAAAACGTAAGGGCGTAGACTGACCCCAACTCACTCACCAGTTTGAAGAGGAATAAGCTAGAGGAGCAGTTAGAGAGCAGCGGGATCGAGAGAAACAGTTCGGGTGAATCTAGCTAGAGGAGGACGGTACGAGCGTCACAGAGGATGTCTAGTCAGAGTTTTTCACACAAGCAGCAACACCTGAGACTAGTTAGTTATTATGTTTTATGATTATGAGTATAGACTGGAGATCAAGTTGAGTTTTTAAAGTTTGAGTTTAATTTGCCCACATGTTAGGGCTTTGCCTTGAACTACAAGTGTGTTTTTCAGTATTTTATTTATTAAAATTTTTCCCAGTTGCAATTTAAGATTTGAGTATTGTATTTATCAAGGGAATTTTAGTAAAAGTAGTACCCGGCCGGGTTAGGGTGTTACAGCCGGGAGAAGAACCACCGTCGGAGGAAGAAGCCGAGCCGCCGACGATGTTGATGGATGGGTCGTTGTTGGGAGTCGAGACGTGGGAAGACGACGGCGGCGGCATCCCACTTGCAACCCTAGGTCACGCCACCAACCTCAAGCCACCAGAATGGTTGGGCCGAGAGGTGGTTCGCGTCACTAGGTCGTTGGGCCGGGATGGCTGCAAGAGAAGAGGAGAGCTTGGGCTAGTTAGCAGATAGGCTCGAACCAGACAGGGGCGGCATGAGGGCGAGCCAACAAGATTCTTGTGCGATGGTGGATTGCAACCCATGGGCCCAATTGTTGAGGGAAGCTACGGGCTGGTATTGAAGGATGAGACCAGCTGGGCTCTTGGAAGAAATGGGCCGCCCATGTGTTGTCTTATGAAGAAGGGAGATGAGCTTATTCATTGGGTATGTGGGATTTCAGATGATTCAAGCGCAATCAGAAATGAAAAGGAGAAGAGCACAATAAGGGTTAATAGTAGTTTCAGTTTGGGCTCTAACTCCTTCTCTCAAACAAATGAGGGCTTAGTTCATGGTGGAGGAAAAGAAGAATGGGGAAATTTAGAGCTCGTCTTTACCACCACACGCTTAGCAGAAGTTATGGAGCACTACATAGAATATTTCAAGGTGGTCAAGGATGATGGGCATAAGGAAGAGCAATTCTTCGATTCTTATTTTCTGAATTTCAAAAAGGAAGACGAAGATTTGTTCGGCTATGGAGAACGTGACATGTGTCATGTTGAGAGACGAGAGATGAGGAAGGTGGGAGTTGCACGAGAAGAGTTCATTCAAGAGATCGAACGCAACTGGAAACGAAGAAAGAGGAAGGTCAAGAAGACGAAAGTCGGCTACGACCTTGAGGGCAAGGTCGTTTTCAATTGGAGGAGATTGTTAGAAACCCAATTCTCGTGGGTTTCCTTTATAATTTCTAGTAGGATAATTATTATTATGGTCAGTAGAGATTTAGTCCAATTAGGTTATTCGTTAGGGTTTTCGGTATTTTTCTATAAATATGTAAGTTGGCTTTCATTATCAACGAAGGATGGAAAATATTAAGAAAAGTATCTCCCCCAAATCTCTCCCAAAACCCTCTCAATCTCGTCCCTCTTCTTCCCTAAAGGCCGCCGACCATTCTCTCCAAAACTTCTCCAATTCTATTCTTCAATCCCTAATCCTCAATTCTTATCTCTAAATACCTAATTTCTATTCCCAAACAGCTAAATCCCTATCTTTACGAATAATCACGGGTGCCAAAGATTAGTCCCTAGAAGCCATAAGAAGTGGGTTTCTTACACACATCCTCACTCCTAGGCTTAGGTTCAATTCCAAGAGTAATTCTCTCCCCACCGACCCCAGGATCAAAGTTCCCTCATTTACATCAATTAATGCATTGGCAGTTGCAAGGAAAGGGCGTCCTAGTATTAGTGGCATCTCAGAATCCTCACTTATATTTAAGATTACAAAATCGATAACAGAATTTTCCCACTCGTACTAGAACGTCATCCACAATGCCCCTAGGACTAATGAAAGAGCGATCGGTCAATCTGACACTAACCTATTAGTCTTTAGTTCACCTATGTCTAGCCTCTTAAAAAGCTTACATGGCATCACATTTATTTTCGCCCCTAAGTTTGCCAAGGCGTTTTCTATGTGGTAAGTACCAATGCAAAGAGGTATGGTGAAACTACCTAGATCGGGTTGCTTCTTGGGCAACTTGTTGAGGATGAAGGCTGAGCACTCCTGGCCTAGGGTGACATTGGCGAGGTCATCGAACTTAGGCTTCTTGGAGAGAAGCCCCTTGAGGTATTTTGAATACCTTGGCATGTGGGTCATTGCTTCAAGGAAGGGAATGTTAAGCTGGAGCTTTTGGAGCATCTCCATGAAACCTCCACATTCCACTTCCAATCTTTCCTTGTGCACCCTTGTGGGATAAGGTAGGGGTGGCATGAACTCAGCCACAGGTGGTGGCATTGGCGATGCCTTCCTCGCTGCTCCTCTCTTTTCTCCCGAGGTTTCTTCTTCTCCACCCTCCGGTAAAGGGTCTTCCTTCTCATTCACTTATTTGGCAACTACCTCTGGAGTCACCTTCCCACTTCTCAAATGAATTGCATTCACCCTGGCACGATCCTTGGGGTTTGTAATAGTTTGAGAGGGTAGGGCTCCCTTTGGTCTCTCGGTGAGGATCTCGACAAGATTGCCCATTTGCACTTCCAAGTTCTGGAGACTTGCTTATGACTTCGGAGTCTCACCTCAACCGAGGTAAACTTAAAGGTTGCCACATCCATGGATTGATAAATCTTCTCAAACTTCTGATAGCTTGTACTCAAAAAGGTGGTCACAAGGTCTTCGAGTTTAGAGAACTTGTCGACTTGTTGTTGTTGCTGGAACCCTTGACCACCTTGTGCTTGGTATGGTTGTTGGAAGTTCGAGTTTTGGAATTGAGACCTTTGTTGGATGAAATTTGGCCGAGGTTGATAGTTTCCCATTGGACCTTGGAAACCAGTAGGTCTTGGATTGGTACTGGAAGACCAAGCAAAGTTTGGATGATTGCGCCACCCGGGGTTGTAGGTGTTGATATAAGGGTTGTTCCCTCTAGCATTGGCAATGAAACTCACTTGCTCCTCGGATGTACTTGTCTCCTTCATCGATTGGCATTCCGCAATTTCATGATTAGGACTTGAACACCGATCACAAGACCTCACCTCTCTCTTCCCTTGCTTCTTGTCCTCAAGGATCTCCTCAATCAACTTTTCAAGCATTGCTTCAAGTGGAGCACTTGCTCCCACACTTTGCACTCCTCTTTCGGTGCATCTCTTACCACTCCTTGTCAAGCCCCAATCATATCCCTTTAGAGCCATATCTTCGAGTAACTCGGTCACTTGAGGTGGGGTCATGTTCATCAACTTCCCTTGGCAAAGAGAGTCAATGAGAATCTTGTCATCTTGAATGAGACCTCCATAGAAAGTCTCTATCCGAAATTGTTCCTCGAATCCATGGTGAGGGCATTGGAGGAAGTAGTGGGAGAATCTTTCACATGCATCCGTCAAAGTCTCATCTTCCTCTTTCTCAAAGTGAGTGATCTTCTCCATCCACTCGGCCGTCTTGGAAGGAGGAAAATATCGGGTCATGAACTTGTTGAGTAAATCTTCCCAAGAGGTGATGGATCGAGCAGGACGGTTGTTGAGCCATCAGAGAGCCTTCTCTGCCAAAGAATAGGGGAATAGCCTCAATTGCAATGCCTCCTCGGGGACTCCATTTATCTTCAGGCTTCCCGCAAGGCCAAGAAACCTTTGACCCTGCTCTCGTGGTGATTCATTGGCAAGCCCATGGAATAAGACATTTTGAATCATTGTCAAGAGAGCGGGCTAGATTTCAAAGTTGTTGGCGGCCATGGGTGGATGTAAGATGGGAGATTGCATATTCGCCGCCCGCAGAGCCATGTAATAGCCCATAGTCCATGGCTCGTCCTTGGCTCCCGCTTCCTCATTTTGGTTTCAAAGCGGATTAGCACCTCGATGTTGATTCCCCTCTCTTCAATTATCCTTCATGCCTCCACTAGCTCCCTCTCACGAGCTAAGAGTCGGAGACTCCGGTTGATGTTCTTGTCCAGTGGTGTTAAAGGCACCGGATTGCTCCGGGTCATGCACCTCCCTGCACACACTTAAAGAACACAACATGTCTAGCACAAGCAACACTGCACACTTAGCAAAACTGAAAATAAAAGTTAGATTAACACCAAACATTCTTTTCACGATAACGGACCGAATTTCCCCGACAACGTCGCCAAAGACTTGACTCGCTCCAACTATCACAATAAAATCCCACCTAAGGCCCAAGTATAAACCTTAGATGGGTGCAATGTAGGGAAAGTATGTTTAAATATCAACATGGGTCGGCCCATGTACCCCTACTT